AAACACAGTAATATGGTAAGTTTAAAGAACTATAGGATAGTGATGGGAGCCATCACAACAGACTTGCAGCATGTAAATAAGTAAATTATGATACCAATAGGGTTATTAATTAGAAACAATTTATGTACAAACGCACAGGGGTGGCTATGTTGATGTAAGTTTTTCACCATATCTTTCAATGTAGGGTTTCCTTCTGTGTTCATGGCACACCTTCAGGTAGTGGTGAAATCCAGGTGGTTTTAAATTGAGACAGCAGAAAGGATTTGGTGAATATTCACACCAAGTTTCATCACTGAACTCCAAGGGTTTTAAAGTTAGAGATCGAAAAGTATTTGTGACTCAAGGCACAGACAGATGCATGGAAGGACAAGCTGAATACTATAGGCCTCCGTTTTTGTATCTGCAAGGCTTTAATGAATTCATAACTCTCACAGCATTCCTTAGCATGGCGGATTTCTCATTTGTTGTCAATAATGAATTAGAGCTTACCTAAACACCAATAAGAAGTACTGTGGATTCATTTATTTTCGTGGGTACCAATTTTCGTGGTTTGAGGAAAAATTGCATATTCGTGGATATTTAATTTCGTGGTTTTGGCAAAGTCTGCATACATTCCCTTAGAACATTTGTAATTCGTTGAACATTTAAATTCGTGGTTCTCCTATACCCACGAAATCCACGAAAATTGGTATCCAACGAATATTAATGAATCCACAGTATTGATTATACACACTAATTGTACTGCATAAGTTGTATAATTTCTTGTTAACTTTATTAAAAAATTATTTTACATTTCTATTTTGACAGGTCAGTAAAATGGAGGAAAATAGTAAACTGTCTTTGAAAAGACGAAAAATAAGAAAAAAAATAGACAGTCGTAAAAGAATAAAACAAGCTGTCAACAAAAAGAAGAGGAAATAAAGATATATTTTATTCTTATCTTTTTGTTCAGTACTATTATTGGCCATCATATGTAAACCCAATTCTATTTTTAATGGTAAATTCTATTATTATTTCAAGAAACGTGTTAGTTGTTAAAAAATCTTAATTGCTTACAAGTTTCTGAAACAGTCCAAACACAGTTGATCATGTGCCAGAAAATCAGTGTAAACATATGCCATACACAAACTATGATTTACAGCTTGACATATTTGTTTTTTGCTGTTTGTTTCATAGACAAATACTATATTTCTCAATTTATTTATACCTCTACCATAAATATTAGTAAATACAATGATTCAGAGCACCAGAAATAATGACCATTGACCCTATTGTGACATGTACACAAAGTGTAGTGTGATATGGCAATCATTGGAATACAGCCAAAATGTATGTTTAGTCATGTATTCTTATTTTCATGATTTGTTAAGAAATTTTTTGTTTTCTTTTGTTTACACATAACAAATATTTGTTGTTGGGTATTCATTTTTGTGGTTTTAGTACCCCCACCCCTCATTTATGAATTTTATAATTTTATTCATTGAAGTAACATTTTCTATGGACATGGTTAAGTTACAAGAAATTTTACTGAGGATACACACCTGTTTGTGACAGTCCTCCATTAGTCCATTTAATTTTATTGATTTTATATGAAAAGCACACGCTGAAATGTCTCCCCTGCCTTACTTATGATTGAATTTATGTTGAAAGTCTGTTATATGAAGGTTTTACTACAAGTACCACATTAACTTAACATTATCAATGTTCTATGAAAATGAAGTCACGGTCAGATGAACCATGCCAGACAGACATGTACACTTAACAATCATTCCATACATCAAATATATTGGCCCTATTGCTTAAAGAATCTGAGAAATAGACCAAACCACAAAAATTAAACATTGTCCAAAGAACCATGAAAATGAGGTCAAGGTCAGATGAAACCTGCCAATACGACATGTACACCTTCCATACACCATTATTGCTATTGCTTATAGTATCTGAGATACTGTCTTTACCACGTAACTTTAACCTTGATCACTGATCCATGAAATGAGGTTGAGGTCAGGTAAACCCTATCTGACCAACATGTAGACCTGGCAAGGAACCCATATACAAAATATAGTTACTCATAATAAGTGAGTTATTTCACTTGACAAAAAAACAAATTTTTTTTTCAAGCAGTCACCGAAGCATGAAGGTCAAGGACAATGAACATATGACAGACAGAAACTTCGTAACATAAGGCATTTGCATACAAGGTATGAACCATCCAGGTCTTCTTTTTCTGAAATATAAAACTTTATACAAATAGTTAACGCTGTCACTTCTGCCTCCGCGGGATTGTAATCCCTTAAGTCATGCATTCTGCAGACGAGACAAAAATGACTTGACGAAATCTCCGCCCTATAGAAGGTGTATTATATATTATAAGCTTAAATACTTCTTTTATATTAGATTTAACTGAATAGAGGTTGTTTTCAATATTTATAAAGCATAAAAGATTTATTTAAAGTCTGGTGGAAAAATATCAGAAATATATGATAAGGTCAATAAATTTCCCATTACTTTTTATATGAAAAGCCCTGTAACTTTCTTGGTGTTCCTGGTTGTGTTTTTATCCACAAATTTTCCCTCTTTTGACACTTTGGTATTCCACTTTTCCAACACACCACACACGAAACCCAACCACGATGGGAAAAGGTTACATTTTTACCTACGCAATATATGAAAAGGTATCAATTTTTAAAATCTGAATTATATGAAAAGGGTGGGGTAACAGAACCCCAGCGGCACTCCCTATCAATTAAGTATTGAAGTACCACGATTGGTTCCCCTTAAACTGACCTAATCACAAACTAAAACATTTTAAGTAAGCAAAAGTTTTAAAGTCAATAGACCATGACTGAGGGGGTGGGGCCAACTAATCTCCATGAAAATGAGATGTGCCAATGTTAATACAACTGCATAATAAATATCATTGACTTACCACTAGTTGTTCCCTTTAAACTGAACTAATCACAAACTAATGCATGTTAAATAAACAAAAGTTTCAAAGTCAATAGACAATGACTAAGGGGGCGGTGCCAAATAGTCTCCATGTAAATGAGATGTGCCAATGCAAATACAACTGCATACAAAATATCATTGACCTACCACTAGTGGTTCCCCATAAACTGAACTAATCACAAACAAATGCATTGTTGAAGCCGCTGCCGTTGGAAACACCATACATAAGTCTCTCTTTTTGACTTCGTCAAGGCGAGACAAAAACAGACCAAAACACAAAAATTTAACATTGACCAATGAACCATAAAAATGAGGTCAAGGACAAATGACACCTGCCAGACTGACATGTACACCTTACAATCATTCCATACACCAAATATAGTTGACATACTGCTTACAGTATCTGAGAAACAGACCTTATCATGTTATTTTAACCTTGATCACTGATCCATGAAATGAGGTCAAGGGCAGGTGAATCATATCTGATGAACATGTAGATCTTGCAAGGTATTCATATACCAAATAGTTATCCTGTTAAATAAAATAAGAGAGAAATTCACACAACAAAAAAAACTTTTTTTCAAGCAGTTGCTGAACCATGAAAATGAGGTCAAGAACAACGGACATATAACAGACGGAAACTTTTTAACATAAGGCATCTTTTTACTAGGCATGAAGCCTCCAGGTCTTCTACCTTCTGAAATATAAAGCTTATACAAACAGTTCACGTTGCCGCTGCCGGAATGTAATCCTTATGTCTTGCATACTGTGACTCTTTGCAGGTGAGACAAAAATGATCTAAGTACGAAAACTTGACACTTAGCTTTAAACCAGAAAAGAGGTCAAGATCAAGGACTCATTTTGGTCAAACATTTACACCTGACAGTGATTCTATTTTTCGAATATAGTCTACCTTCTACTCATTGTAAGTGAGAAGCTAAACACAGACATTTTCTTTGAGAAAGGAAAATGAGGTCAAGGTCAGATGAATTCTGTCAGGCCAACATGTACACTTCTATGATTCTTAAGACCAAGTATAGTGTGCAAAGATACCAGAATTTTTTTTATTTTGTATGCCAGAGGTGCTTTTCATCTACAAAAGACTCATCAGTGATGCTCAACCAAAAATTTTAAAAGGTAAAATCAAGTACAAAGTTGAAGAGCATTGAGGACCCAAATTCCAAAAGGTTTTACCAAATACAGCAAATGAGAACTAAGAACAAGTGTCATATGCCAAATAATCCATCTATCAACAAAGTATGAATTGCCAACCTCTTCTATCATCTAAAACAGATGTACAGTGTTTTTTTTTAGATTTTGACTGATCCTATCAAACAGCTAACAAGAAAATGGAATGTTACATAAATGTAATAGTATGAGAGTTGGTAAAAGTTTTATATCAATCCATTTAGATACCATGTCAAAGTACTAGTTTAGCAATCAAACACAAATAATAATGTGATAGTCTACTTCTATCTATAAATAGAAAATTTTGTATCTCAAGAATTAGTATACCATTCAGCAATCTTTGCTTTGATACAAATTTACAGCTTTCCTTAAAGGGACATTAGCTCAAGATATAAGAAAAAAATAAAATATGATTATTTTTTGTTCAATCATTAATGGACGTGAAATAGTGAAATACTAATTTTTGGATTATATGAACGTTGAGTCTTCGGAGGTCAGCTGATAAATTAATTAGATGGAGTACTAGTCTAGACTAAAATACACATGGAATGCTGATACATATTATCGAGTCCTTGCTTCGTAAATTGTTTATTTTAGACTTTTTATAATTTGGTTATACGTTTAAGTATGTTATAAGTGGAATATGAGAATTAGAGTCAAATCGGTGAACAAGAATTTGACCGCTAATGCCCCTTTAAAAACCTTTTATTTGACTCCTACAATGATGTATTAAAACAGACAAAAACATGTTTTTGCTGCCATAAATTTATTTTAGGAAATTCAAAGGTAATTTTATCAGAACTATTGCCATTATTTCGATAAAATGCATATGACATCTGCTGGTCAGCTCAAAGAAATAACCATTTATCATTTTTTATTACATTTTATTTTCAAATAAATAACAAAGATAGCAAAATTTTAAAACATATTTCATAACATGTCATGATACAACAGACATTTGCCATGGTTGCTAAACAAATATATGGTTTAAGTGGTGATAATAAAATATGTATAATAAATATTGTAAAATGTTAAATCAAATTTAAACAAAACCTTTTCTTTGCTCTCATAATATCAACTCTCACAGGTTATTTGGAATTAAAAAACAACATTTAAATTGTAATTACAAGAATAAATACTGTATGTAAATTATGACTAATTAACAGTATGTTAAATTCAAATCTACATAGAAAATAGAACTTTTTTGGTAGGTGGAGGGCCACAAGAACTTTTCAAAGCAACTATATTAAAGAATCTTTACAGCATGCCTTTTTAAAATCTCCGTTGACAAAAATGTTGAACCACTGTTGAAGCACACAACAGGGAATTTAAAGAAAAAAAAATCAATTAGCGTTTCGAAGAAAATAATAAAGGATGCAAGTATTGCAACTTTGTATTTGTGTTTTGACATAATTTTTTTTAGATTTTCTTTCTATATTGGCACAGTTTAAGTAACATTCACAATTGGGTAATGTGCTGATGCTACAAATGATCACAAATATCTTTTAAAAAATCTCCATGATTTGCACTGTAAATTCATTACAATGTACATCAAGTTTTGATATTGTTCTTTTTATATGAACATAATAAATATCACAATGCTAAGAATTCCTGGGCTTTACTACACAGTTCTTTAACTCTAGGTGATAATTTTTCATGTTGTGAGCAGTTCATTCCAACTATACTGGCCAAGTCACACATCTGTAATAGAAATTTTCAAGTTTAAAGTACATGTGTAAATTAATTGCTTTGTTTTTTTTCTAAAAAATGTTAAACACAATAATAAAACATGAAATATGTCACTCTCACAAAAAACTCACATAGTTGTACACCTGTCGGGCATGGTCTCAAATACTTTTTGTAAAGTAGTGTCTGATATGGTCTTTATCATTCATGTTAAAGTTGGTTCAAATTTGTCCAAGGGTTTCACAGAAAATATTTTAAAAAGTGTCAGACAAGCACTGTATAGTTAGACATTTAATTTCTTTTAGAAAAGAATTTTATAAAGGATTATTATGTCACCTTCCATGAAAAAATTCTCTTTATAATATACTTAAGGCAAACTCAGAGATAGGATTATTATTTCACCCTCCATGATAAAATTCTCCATATAATATACTTAAGGCAAACTCAGAGATAGGATTATTATGTCACCCTCCATGATAAAATTCTCCTTATAATATACTTAAGGCAAACTCAGAGATAGAATTATGTCACCCTCCATGATAAAATTCTCCATATAATATACTTAAGGCAAACTCAGAGATGTACATTTTTGGCTGTTACAGTCTACCTCCCACTTAAATCCACATGTAAAGTAACCTATGTGCGAACACTATGTCGATTTTGCTGTGCTATAATTAAAATTGAAATAAAATGCTTCGCTGGGCGCAGCTTGATACGACCGCAGAGGTCGAACCCTGAACAGTTGGGGCAAGTATGGACACAACATTCAAGCTTGATACAGCTCTGAATTTGGATTGTGATTAAATATTTGACACAGCATAGGTTTCTGACACAGAAAGAATGTGGTCTAAGAACTTGAATTTTTTTAATTTACCTATTATGGTCCAATGTCCAAAATCAAAATACATATTTAGATTCAGCATATCAAAGAACCCCATATATTCAATTTTTGTTGAAATCAAACAAAGTTTAATTTTGGACCCCAACTTGGACCAACTTGAAAACTGGGCCCATAATCAAAAATCTAAACACATGTTTAGATTCAGCATATCAAAGAACCCCAAGAATTCAATTTTTGTTAAAATCAAACAAAGTTTAATTTTGGACCCTTTGGACCTTAATGTAGACAAATTTAAAAAACTGGACCCAAAATTAAAAATTTAAATACACAGTTAGATTTGGAATATCAAAGAACCCCAATAATTCAATTTTTGATGAAATCAAATGAAGTTTAATTTTGGACCCTTTTGACCTCAATATGAACCAATTTGATAGCGGGGTCCAAAAATAAAAAATCTAAATACATGGTTAGATTCAGCATATCAAAGAACCCCATATATTCAATTTTTGTTGAAATCAAACAAAGTTTAATTTTGGACCCCAATTTGGACCAACTTGAAAACTGGGCCAACAATCAAAAATCTAAATACATGTTTAGATTCAGCATATCAAAGAACCCCATATATTCAATTTTTGTTAAAATCAAACAAAGTTTAATTTTGGACCCTTTGGACCTTAATGTAGACCAATTTGAAAACTGGACCCAAAATAAAAAATCTAAATATACGGATAGATTCGGCATAACAAATAAATAAATGTGGTCAAAGATTTTACAAATCTAATGCGCCATACTGTGCAATTAAAGATTACTTCTTGAAATTTTTCAATATTTGAAATTTGAAAAAAAAATAATATTTGAAGAATAATTCTTTTTAATTTCTGAAATCTGAAATGAGAAAAAAATGACCCCCCCCAATTTCTTTTTACCCCCCCCCCCCGGTTGTATTTGGATTACCTCCCTTACACTGTTTTAAATTATCTTAATTGTTCATTAACCATTACTTTATACATAATTTAAAAGCAGTGTAAGGGAGATAATTTCAATGATGTATTTGATTTATCTCCCTTACACTGCTTTATATATGTTTTGTACTAAAGTATTTTACCAGGACAACCTTGTTTTTCCCCCTTTCTTGCCCCTAATTCCTAAACGGTTTGAGCCATAACCCCCCAAAGCAAATCCTAACCATCCCTTTGTGGTATGGAAACTTGTAGTATAATTTCAGAGAGATCCATACACCGTTCCACAGTTATTGTCTGGAAACTAGAAAATGCTTATTTTTGGCCCCTTTTTGGCCCCTAATTCCTTAACTGTTGGTACCATAACCCCCAAAATCAATCCCCACCTTCCTTTTGAGGTGTTGAACCTTATGGTAAAATCAAAGAGATCCATTCACTTAAACTAAAGTTAGAGTGCGAAAACCAATGTGTCTTCGGACGACGACGTCATACCAATATATTGCGGTCGTATAAAAAACTACAGAACTGTTATTCCTATTCTGATGCACAACAAGAGGTTCCAAAGAGCCTTAACCGCTCACTCACCTGGTAAAAAATATGCCAATTTGATATTTATTCTTTTCCTTCATTGCAATCAGTTATATAGTAATACGTTAAACCAACTTATTGAATATTTTTTTTATTGGTATAAATATTGATTTTGTTGTAAGTAAATTAAAACCATACTAAACATGTTATACACATATGCACTTTCACAGTAATGCAATCTGTAGATACCTATATTTTGGCATTGCACAAGGTCATGTTTTTCTCTGACTGTTAATGACATCTTTACACTTAATCCATTGGATGTTGGATGTGTACTGATTGATATTTTAGTCTAAGATACATGATTTTTTATTAGTTGTTATTGGCTTTGAACTAGATGTCAGTACTTGCGAGTACTCTCAGATCTGTACTTTGTGTCTTTTTTGTTGTTAGAGATGTGTAAATTCCCTGCCATGTCTGGTCTGTGTTTTTGTACCCCACGCAACGAGTTGCGGAGGGTATAATGTTTTTGACCCGTCCCTCTGTCTGTCCGTCCGTCAGTCCGTCAGTCCTGTTTCTTGTCATCGCAACTCCTCTCAAACCACACAACAGAATTTCACGAAACCTTTTTAGATAATAAGGACATACTATGTAGTTGTGCATATCGACAGGAAATTGCGATTCAATTTTTTTTCTAGGAGTTACGCCCCTTTGAACTTATTTACTTTAATGTACTACTGCAACAGTTTGTCATCGCAACTCCTCTGATACCACAGAACAGAATTTCATGAAACCTATTTAGATAATAAGGACATACTATGTAGATGTGCATATCGACAGGAAATTACGGTTCAATTTTTTTTCTAGGAGTTACGCCCCTTTGAACTTATTTGCTTCAATGTACTACTGCAACAGTTTGTCATCGCAACTCCTCTGATACCACACAACAGAATTTCATGAAACCTTTTTAGATAATAAGGACATACTATGTAGATGTGCATATCGACAGGAAATTATGATTCAATTTTTTTTCTAGGAGTTAAGCCCCTTTGAACTTATTTGCTTTAATGTACTTCTGCAACAGTTTGTCATCACAACTCCTCTGAATCCACACAACATAATTTCATGAAACTTTGTAGATAATAAGGACATACTATGTAGATGGGCATATTGACAGGAAATTATGATTCAATTTTTTTTTCTTACACATATTTTATTTCTCCAATGACAATGTGGGGACGTGGGGTATGTGAGCGCGCTCACTAAGGTTCTTTAATTGTTAGATGTTTTTCTGCTTTATATCGGTCTGATGAGTTGAGCCCTTTTCAACTGATTTTTATACGACCGCAAAAATTAAAAATTTTTTGGTCGTATATTGGTATGACGTTGGCGTCGTCGTCGTCTGGCGTCGTCCGGCATCGTCCGAAGACACATTGGTTTTCGCACTCTAACTTTAGTTTAAGTGAATGGATCTCCATGAAATTTTACCATAAGGTTCAATACCACGAAAGGAAGGTTGGGATTGATTTTGGGGGTAATGGTACCAACAGTTAAGGAATTAGGGGCCAAAAAGGGGTAAAAAATAAGCATTTTTGTAACTTACAGACAAAAACTTGTGTGTAAGTGTATGGATCTCTCTGACATTGTACCACAAGGTTCCATATCACAAAGGGAAGGCTGTAATTGATTTTGGGGGTAATTGCCTCAAAATTTTAGGAATTAGGGGCCAAAAAAGGGGCAAAAAACAAGCATTTTTCTAGTTTAATGACAATAACTTGTGTGTAAGTGTTTGGAAATTTTTCTGAAATTGTACTACAAGGTTCCATATCACAAAGGGAAAGCTGGAATTGAGTTTGGGGGTAATTGCCCGAAACGTTTAGGAATTGGGGGCCAAGAAGGGGCCAAAAATAAGCATTTTTCTAGTTTCCAGACAATAACTTGTGTTCAAGTGTATGGATCTTTCTGAAATTGTACTGCAAGGTACCATACCACAAAGGGAAGGCTGGGTTTGAGTTTGGGGGTGATGAATCATAAGGGGGTTCAAAAAATTTGGGGGGGGGGATTTTTTTTTTCTTTTCTTTTTTTCCTTTTTTTTTTCTTTTCAAATTTTCCATTTTGAGTTGGTTATTTCTGATTAATATTTAAAAGCAAATAATAATGATATGGTAGGAGATACACACCAAACAGGATGTGTAAATTATTATATAATAAGTATTGTGCAATAGCAAGAAATTTTCAATTGCACAGTATTGCACAATAGCAAGAAATCTTCAATTGCACAGTATTGCACAATAGCAAGAAATCTTCAATTGCACAGTATTGCGCAATAGCAAGAAATATCCAATAGCACAATATTGCGCAATAGCAAGAAATTGTCAATTGCACAGTATTGTGCAAAAGAAGATACTTCGTATAAATTGCTTATTTCTTGATCAATTTCAATGGGGTTTTATTCTTGAATTCTTGGGGTTCTTTAATATGCTGAATCTAACCGTGTATTAAGTTTTTGGATTTTGGGCCCCGTTTTTAAATTTGTCCACATTGAGGTCCAAAGGGTCCAAAATTTAACTTTGTTTGATTTCATCAAAAATTGAATTATTGGGGTTCTTTGATATGCCGAATCTAACCGTGTATTTAGATTCTTAATTTTTGGTTCCGTTTTCAAATTGGTCTACATTAAGGTCCAAAGGGTCCAAAATTAAACTTAGTTTGATTTTAACAAAAATTGAATTTTTAGGGTTCTTTGATATGCTGAATCTAAACATGTATTTAGATTTTTGATTATGGGCCCAGTTTTCAAGTTGGTCCAAATCGGGGTCCAAAATTAAACTTTGTTTGATTTCAACAAAAATTGAATATATGGGGTTCTTTGATATGCTGAATCTAACCATGTATTTAGATTTTTGATTTTTGGGCCCCGTTATCGACTTTGTCCACATTGAGGTCAAAAGGGTCCAAAATTAAACTTAGTTTGATTTTAACAAAAATTGAATTTTTAGGGTTCTTTGATATGCTGAATCTAAACATGTATTTAGATTTTTGATTGTTGGCCCAGTTTTCAAGTTGGTCCAAATCGGGGTCCAAAATTAAACTTTGTTTGATTTCAACAAAAATTGAATATATGGGGTTCTTTGATATGCTGAATCTAACCATGTATTTAGATTTTTGATTTTTGGGCCCCGTTATCGACTTTGTCCACATTGAGGTCAAAAGGGTCCAAAATTAAACTTTGTTTGATTTCATCAAAAATTGAATTCTTGGGGTTCTTTGATATGCTGAATCTAACCATGTATTTAGATTTTTGATTTTTGGGCCCCGTTATCAACTTTGTCCACATTGAGGTCAAAAGGGTCCAAAATTAAACTTTGTTTGATTTCATCAAAAATTGAATTCTTGGGGTTCTTTGATATGCTGAATCTAACCATGTATTTAGATTTTGGATATTGGACCATAATAGGTGAATGTCCAATTTAAAATTTTTAAGTTCTTAGACCACATTCATTCTGTGTCAGAAACCTATGCTGTGTCAAATATTTAATCACAATCCAAATTCAGAGCTGTATCAAGCTTGAATGTTGTGTCCATACTTGCCCCAACTGTTCAGGGTTCGACCTCTGCGGTCGTATCAAGCTGCGCCCTGCGGAGCATTTTATTATAGTTTGTTCTTATGTTGTGCTGAAACACCACTGTCCCAGGTTAGGGGAGGGTTGAGCACTCACAAACATGTTTAACCCCACCACATTCTGTATGTGCCTGTCCCAAGTCGGGAGTCTGTAGTTCAGTGTTTGTCGTTGGTTCATGTCTGTCATATTTGTTTTTCGTTAATTGTTTTGTTATAAAATAGGCCGTTAGTTTTCTCAATTGAATTGTTTCATTTTTTTCATGTTGGGGCTTTTTATAGCCGACAATAAGGTATGGGTTTTTCTCGTTGTTGAAGACCGTACAGTTGCAAATAATTGCTTACATCCACTTCATTGGAACTTTGGTGGATAGTTTGCTTATTGGCAAACATACCACATTTCCTTATTATACCCCACGCAAAGGGTTGCGGAAGGTATAATGTTTTTGACCCGTCCGTACGTCCGTCAGTCCGTCAGTCCGTCAGTCCGTTAGTCCTGTTTCTTGTCATCGCAACTCCTCTGAAACCACACAACAGAATTTCATGAAACCTTTTTAGATAATAAGGACATACTATGTAGATGTGCATATTGACAGGAAATTACGATTCAATTTTTTTTTCTAGGAGTTACGCCCCTTTGAACTTATTTGCTTCAATTTACTACTGCAACAGTTTGTCATCGCAACTCCTCTGAACCCACACCACAGAATTTCATGAAACTTTGTAGATAATAAGGACATACTATGTAGATGTGCATATCGACAGGAATTTACGATTCAATTTTTTTTCTAGGAGTTGCGCCCCTTTGAACTTAGTTGCTTTAATGTACTACTGCAACAGTTTGTCATCGCAACTTCTCTGAAACCACACAACAGAATTTCATGAAACTTTGTAGATAATAAGGTCATACTATGTAGGTGTGCATATTGACAGGAAATTATGATTCAATTTTTTTTCTTACACTTATTTTATTTCTCCAATGACAATGTGGGGACGTGGGGTATGTGAGCGCACTCACTAAGGTTCTTTAATTTTTATATTTCAAGGTTAATAACTCCTATTAGCTGTCAACTGATAATTTCCGTCCAGTTGACTTGTATGTAGATCTTATTTTGCTGAACACTTTTGTTTATTACAATTTCTCTTTATATATTATAGTTTGCAAAAAAGTAAAAATGTCTTTCAAGAGCAATAACTCCTATAAGGGGTCAAATGACAATTTGTCCATGTTGACTTACTTTTAGATCATATTTTGTTGAACATTTGACGATGGAAATATTCTCTTTATCAACTATAGTTGCCTCAAAAAACTCAAAAAGGCTAAAAATCATTATTTAAAGGCAATAACTCTATAAGGGGTCCCCATTTGACGATTTCTGCCAAGCTGGCTTATTTGTAGATCTTATTGTTCTGGACATTTTTACCGTTTAAAATTTCTCTCTGTCTGTTTATAGTTTTCAAGATAATAACCAATAAAATGCTCCGCTTGGCACAGCTTGATACGACCGCAGAGGTCGAACCCTGAACAGTTGGGGCAAGTATGGACACAACATTCAAGCTTGATACAGCTCTGAATTTGGATTGTGATTAAATATTTGACACAGCATAGGTTTCTGACACAGAATGAATGAGGTCTAAGAACTCAGAGCTTGGAAAAATGTAAAAAATTAAAATAAAATAATTTTACGTGAAATTCAATGAATGATCTTGGCACTTTAACGTCATGTCTAAAATAAGCCCAATATTTACCTCTGTATTGTTCTTCATCAACAGTAACAAGGATGATAACAGATGGTATGCTGGAAATAGAAAATGAGAAATGATTCAAAATACTGGAGTTTTTATGTTTCATACCTTGGTGGGCTAGTGGATGCCTTGAGTCTGGGAAGTTGTGGGTAAGATGCAGGGCCTAGTCGAACATAAGCTTTGAAAATTGGTATTTGGTGCTTCTCTGCTATAAAGCAGCATTTAGGAGTCAGCTAGGGGTAAAAATAATGTGTCCAAGTTGGGTGACATGTCTTCATGCAGCCTGTTACCTTGTGAATTAGCACATTACAAATGTGTCCCAGAGTGTCGGTAAAGTGCAAAGCCAGATTAATATTCATATCACATTAGCATGTTCTGGTCAAGGTGGCATGTAATATTAGCCACTGGATGTTAAACACTAATCAATCATCATCATCATACTAAGAATAAACTTCAATACTAAAAACAATTCAAACAAATACTGTAACAAACAAAATCTGTCTTACTCAAAACATTAAATCCTTACACAACCTGACAAAACCCAAAGCAAAAGAATAGTGTTTTTATTGCTGTTCTTCATCTTTAAGTCACAGTGAGGTTTCTAGTTGTCTGTCTGTCAGGCTAAATTTCTTACCTACATAATATGCTGCTGTTTTCCAGTAGCAGTTAAAGTTATCTGCCCCTTCTCCTAGTTCACCTATTAAATATCAGAGCTTATAACTCGATTTAATAATAAACCAATTAGGGCTGGGGGCTCATATACACACTGCATGGAAAAATGGAAGTATGACAATTAAAAAATAAAGGAATAAAATAGTAAAGGACAGCTAATATAGTAAATGTCACTTTTTGTAGGCGAATGAATGTAAAGATGTAACAACCTTGAAGTATCTAATTATGTAAGAGTTAAAAAAAAACATCTAAACAAATGCTAGCCGTAGGAGAAGACTTATACAAACCTGTTTGTTCTGATAAGTCTCTCTGTAAACATTCTAATACAGCACTTCCTATTTCTATCTGATGTGCCTCTGGTATCTGAAAGTAACAAATAAATGTACTGCCTTCATAATCATCTATTAAAAACCTATGGGGCAAGCAAGGATATGATCTACAAACAATCTAAAAATAATATTTAAGGTATTTTCAAATTAATCTAAAAATTTAAATTTTTGCTCTTACCTCTTGAATATTTACATAAATGCCCAACTTGATTTTTATGTGATATATGACACTGTTGTAGAAGAGTAGTGTTCAATATGACAACCACTTCCATGAGAACCATTAGTTACCGGTATGGTATATACATTAAGAACACACAAAAAAATAAACAAACAATTCCCCCAAAAATACAACAACAACATTGCTTAGATTTTCAAACTTTTGTTTTATAAACTGCATATTAACAGGTTCATTTTTGTGAAATATTTTTATATGACCTTAAGTGTTTTATACACCACTCTTGAGGCGTGGGACTTTACTACAACTAACCTCAGTTTTGAACCAATTGAACTACTGCTGTTTATAAGAACTAGAGACTTCAAAGAGCCTGTGTCCTTCACCTTGGTCTGTGCAAAAGGGGGAAAAAGTGCCATTTAAGGGCAATCACTCCAATAAAGAGTCTACTAACTATATTTGCAAAAATCATCTTGTTTGTAGATCTTGTCTTGCTTATTATTTTTGCTTTTCAATGAGTCTATCTATCTTTTATAATTTTCAAGACAGAGAGGCAAAAATTGGTAAAAAAAGGTACTGTAAACCAACTTATTTTTGCGACTTTCCTGAGTGGAAAAATAAAGCAAATATAAATCGTCGCGAATATGTAAACTTGGATCTTTCCTTATTTAACTTCATCAAGTAAATTAGAAAATCGTGAAATTAAATCACTGTGAAGTGGACTAGAAAGGACTTAACGCGAAATAAAGTATCAACGAAAATTACTTGGATTACAGTAATTAAAGAGCAATAACTCCAATTAGGAGTCGAGTAACGATTCAGCTATGTTGATTTTTTGTAGACCTTGCCTTCCTGACCATTTTTGCTTTTTAAAGTTTCTATCATAGTTTTCAACAAAAACACTAAAAAATCATAAAAATTCTCATTAAAGAGCAATAACTCCAACAGGATGCCAATGGATGGGAAAAGCTCACTTGGCCATTTGGGCCAGGTGAGCTAAATTTTTATTTTTGATGTGTGGTAATGATTGATTTGTGTTGTTACTTTACAAAACTATGGGAACATGTTTTATTCTTTTAAAGTGGAAGAACTTGAAATTGGTGTATTAATGAAACATTTTTTTTTTAGAATTTTGAAGGTACAAAATAAAACATACAAACCTGATATCTACACAAGTTATACACTGCTGTAGCTATTAAGTTGTTGACTTCTGACTTATCTGACAAGATACAATTAATACAGAATTGACTAGTCAGATAAGATAAACTACTCTCATCCTCAGATTCTGTCATTACAAATTCTTGTCCTTTCTGTGTACTGGTTAAATTTGTAAGCTGAAAAATACATCCTTTATTACTACTATATGTATAAAAGTACTACAAACTAAAAAAGAAGTTTTTGTTTATGTTTACAAGAAAAATACTTCAGTCATGAATGCCTTTATAAGTTAAACTACTGTATCGCTGCTGTCTTATTAATGTCACCAAAGCTAAAAGGAGGATCTATGTCAAACTGATCTTTCATATTTTTACAAATGTTCCAAAATTTAATAAAAATTATTTTACCATTAATAAGCATCTTACCAGTTATAGCAAAAAGCTTATTTAATTTCCTCAGCCTGACATAAATTGTACCACTATTAAGATCAAAACTTATTGTTTTGTGCATAAATCAGGCTCTTAGTTTTCTTGTTTGAATTGTTTTACATTTTTTTTTAGCCTTTTATAGCTTGCTATGTGGTATGGGTTTTGCTCATTGTTGAAGGTGGTATGGTGACCCATAGTTGCTTTTCTCTTACATCATTTTGTCTCTGCTGGAGAGTTGTCTTATTGGCAATTATACCACATCCTCATATTTTTATATTGAAGTATATGACAGACATCTTATGATCAACTGTAAACTTCACATTTTAACATATTGTAGTACAGATTGTTTAAGATGTTACAATAAGACCAATGAAGCAAACAACTTAAAGGAAAATTTGTCTATGAATAACAGGCTTGGATATTTTTGAATTGCATATTTGGACTTGTTTCTGTTAGATCTATCAGCATGCCAAATGTTTCGATATCTTTGAATTGCATGTTAATAATTTGTCTCTTTCAGATATATCAGTATGCCACAAATTAGAATTTTGAAGGGCACCTTAAATTACTTCAACCTGACTTTTAAGTGCAACTTACCAATTTTAGTATGGCTGTATGTACAGTGTCTGTCAACTGGTCATAATGTTGTACAATATTCTTTATCATTTCTGTTGGTTCATGTTGTAGCAATGTAATGAAATCCTCAAATAGAACAAGAGATTGTAGAAGTTTGTACACGCCAACTCTGACATCATCTCCCATCCTACCGTCACCAATCACTGTATGTATAGACTGTATATGATCTTTACCCAGTGACCACTGAGATTTGTCTTTTAATGATAAATACTCATACATGTCATCTAGTGAATCTAAATTTTTGGTGGTCAGTTTACTCCCTATTTTATCTTTAAGAGTCTGTAAATCAGGTGTTGCCTAAAACAAACAAAATAATTATTGTTAAATGTGAAGAGAGGTTTTTTTCTAAATGTCTTTATTTGGTTTGATTGTGTTGTAAAGATGATTAATGTCTACCCACCATCTCCTTTTATTACTGTCATCAACAATTTAATAATGGTGAACAAATTCAATAAATTAACCTGGCAAGGATACTTTTAGTTGTCTATAATGACAAAACTGTATATGCAAAATTATTGGTTATTCATATTGCTTCAATAATAATTTGACCTGAATGTGCAGAGATTTTTATATAGAAATACTGTCTGTGTGTCACATAATTCTAAAAGCCCATATTTTCATTTCCTACAAAATCATGATTATTTATGGGTTTTAATAATAATAAACAAAGACACTAACCTCTGTGTAAACATATGGTTCATACATGTCCTCCTCTCCCTCAGAAGAGGGATCAAAGTTTGATGTATCTGATCTACTGCTGTTGGCAGATCCTGGTAAACTGTTCCCTGCTGTAGCCTCTGGAACTGTTTCCTGTTGACTCTTACCCTGTTGGACTGACGGACCTGGTGCTTGTTCCATTTTCTGGGATCCTGATGACATGGTATTCAGTTCTTGTTGACTGAACACAGAATGTCCACCACTGGGCTGGACTGACATTGTATCTATCAGAGGTTTTAGCATCTGTCCTAGTGGTCTAATTATAAAAATGTACATATTTAATATCAAAATATCACAGGTCCTTTATTTTACTTTATTGTATCAGTACATACAGGTATCCTTAGCAGAATGAGGATATTTTTTTATAACAGACCCTTTGTACATTATTCAAACCATTGGTCCACTAGTTTTTTGAATAATCAATTTCTCTTTTAAATGTCTAATGAGAATCTGTGCAGCATCTTTAATACAAAAATATAAAAATAAGGAGATGATTAAAAATGAGACAAATATCCACCAGAGTCCAAATGAGGTGGATGTAAGCAATTGTAGGTCACTGTATGGCCTTCAACAATGGGCAAATATCCATTCTGTATAGTCAGCTATTAAAGGCCATGACATGACAAAATGTAAAGCAATTCAAACAAGAAAACTTAATCTTCTTCATAAATTTTGTTTTTACAAAAATCAAATACATGTATGACAGGCAAAAAACAAATACATTATGACAGACATGAACCAAAGAATAACTGATTCCTGACTTGGGACTATCACATAAAGAATGTGGCTAGTTAAACATGTTTGTGAGTGTTGAACCCTTCCCTAACCTGGGTCAGTGTTGTTACAGCACAATATAAGAACAAGCTGTAATAAACTGTTAACACAGAGATATATTGAAAATGCAAATGTAGAAATTAAAAACATGTAAGTTATGCAAATATTCAAAGTCAATGAACCATGACTGAAGGTACAGGGCTAAACAATCTCCATGGAAATGAGATGTGCCAATGCTAATACAACTGCATACCAAATACCATTGACTTATCATAAGTTTTCCCCTAAAAACAAACCTAAACACAAACATTATCTTGTAAACTATGTAAAAGTTTCAAAGTCAATGAACCATGATGAGGGGGTGGGACTATATAATCTCCATGGAAATGAGACTTGCAAATGCCAATACATTTGCAAACCAAATATCATTGACTTAACATTAGTGGTTTATCTTAAACTGATCTAATCACAAACTAATACATGTATACTAAGCAAAAGTTTCAAAGTCAATAGACCATGACTGAGAGGTAAGGACCAAATCTTCTCCATTGAAATGAGATGTGCTAATGCTTATACAATTGCATACCAATTATCATTGACCTACCACTAATGGTTCCCATTAAACTGACCTAATCACAAACTAATACATGTAAACTAAGCAAAAGTTTCAAAGTCAATAGACCATGACTGAGGGGGCGAGGCCAAATAATCTCCATGGAAATGAGATGTGCCAATTCTAATACACCTGCATACCAAATATCATTGACCTACCTCTAGTGGTTCACCATAAACTAGACCTAATCACAAACTAATACATTGTTGACACCGACGCCGATGGAAACAGCAGACCTATGTCTCGCTTGCAAAAATCAGTTGCAAATGGCTTAATTCAATAGATCAGTGTGAAGCACAATAAACAACTCACATAAAAATAAAAAAGAGTAACACAAAGCACCAATATTAAGTATTCACAGTTACTGAAAGCTAGTTCAAAGAACCAATATTAAGTATTCACAGTTACTGAAAGCTAGTTCAAAGAACCAATATTAAGTATTCACAGTTACTGAAAGCTAGTTCAAAGTTAGTGTATACATAATTAATAAATCCTGTTCTAATTTATCAAGCAGTAAACATCAAATTTATGAAGTGTAAAAGTTGTCATAAACAGTCTGAGAAACTTGTGACCTTGTGCAATGCCAAAATATGAGAAAACAGTATCAACAGGATGTAGGATCCTAAGTATTATAACTGTATAGCAATATATATTTAGTAATGTTTTAATCTGTCAAAAACAAAATCATTGTTAGTAATATGTATATAGTTATCTAAATACCACCAAATAAAAAATTTATGAAGGTCTTTCAATGATTATTCTTATAAAGTTTAATAAAATGCTTCGCTGGGGCGCAGCTTGATACGACCGCAGAGGTCGAACCCTGAACAGTTGGGGCAAGTATGGACACAACATTCAAGCTTGATACAGCTCTGAATTTGGATTGTTATTAAATATTTGACACAGCATAGTTTTCTGACACAGAAAGAATGTGGTCTAAGAACTTGAATTTTTTTAATTTACCTATTATGGTCCAATGTCCAAAATCAAAATACATGGTTAGATTCAGCATATCAAAGAACCCCATATATTCAATTTTTGTTAAAATCAAACAAAGTTTAATTTTGGACCCCAACTTGGACAAACTTGAAAACTGGGCCCATAATCAAAAATCTAAACACATGCTTATATTCAGCATATCAAAGAACCCCAAGAATTCAATTTTTGCTAAAATCTAACTAAGTTTAATTTTGGACCCTTTGGACCTTAATGTAGACCAATTTAAAAAACGGGACTTAAAATTAAAAATCTGAATACACGGTTAGATTTGGAATATCAAAGAACCCCAATAATTCAATTTTTGATGAAATCAAACAAAGTTTAATTTTGGACCCTTTTGACCTCAATATGAACCAATTTGATAGCAGGGCCCACAAATAAAAAATCTAAATTCATGGTTAGATTCAGCATATCAAAGAACCCAATATATTCAATTTTTGTTGAAATCAAAAAAAGTTTTATTTTGGACACCAACTTGGACCAACTTGAAAACTGGGCCCATAATCAAAAATCTAAACACATGTTTAGATTCAGCATATCAAAGAACCCCAAGAATTCAATTTTTGTTAAAATTAAACTAAGTTTAATTTTGGACCCTTTGAACCTCAATGAAGACCAATTTAAAAAACAGACCCAAATTAAAAATCTGAAAACACGGTTAGATTTGGCATATCAAAGAACCCCAATAATTCAATTTTTGATGAAATCAAACAAAGTTTAATTTTGGACCCTTTTATCCTCAATATGAACCAATTTGATAGCGGGGCCCACAAATAAAAAATCCAAATACATGTTTAGATTCAGCATATCAAAGAACCTCATATATTCAATTTTTGTTGAAATCAAACAAAGTTTAATTTTGGACCCCAATTTGGACCAACTTGAAAACTGGGCCCGTAATCAAAAATCTAAATACATGTTTAGATTCAGCATATCAAAGAACCCCATATATTCAATTTTTGTTGAAATCAAACAAAGTTTAAATACTGGACCCTATCTTGGACCAACTTGAAAACTGGGCCCATAATCAAAAATCTAAACACATGTTTAGATTCAGCATCTCAAAGAACCCCAAGAATTCAATTTTTGTTAAAATCAAACTAAGTTTAATTTTGGACCCTTTGGACCTTAATGTAGACCAATTTAAAAAACAGGACCCAAAATTAAAAATCTAAATACACGGTTAGATTTGGAATATCAAAGAACCCCAATAATTCAATTTTAGATGAAATCAAACAAAGTTTAATTTTGGACCCTTTTGACCTCAATATGAACCAATTTGATAACGGGGTCCACAAATAAAAAATCTAAATACATGGTTAGATTCAGCATATCAAAGAACCCCATATATTCAATTTTTGTTGAAATCAAACAATGTTTAATTTTGGACCCCAATTTGGACCAACTTGAAAACTGGGCCAAAAATCAAAAATCTAAATACATGTTTAGATTCAGCATATCAAAGAACCTCATATATTCAATTTTTGCTAAAATCAAACAAAGTTAAATTTTGGACCCTTTGGACCTTAATGTAGACCAATTTGAAAACTGGACCCAAAATAAAAAATCTAAATACACTGTTAGATTCCGCATAAAAAAATAAATAAATGTGATCAAAGATTTTACAAATCTAATGCGCCATACTGTGCAATTAAAGATTACTTCTTGAAATTTTTCAATATTTGAAATTTGAAAAAAAAATAATATTTGAAGAATAATTCTTTTTAATTTCTGAAATCTGAAAGGAGAAAAAATTGACCCCCCACAATTTCTTTTTATCCCCCCCCCCCTCTTTTTTCCCCCAAAAAATTCTTTCCCTCAATATATGGTCATAATCTCAATTCAAATTTCCAATGGAGTTGGCAACCATAATTACCCATTTAAATTTACCATAGTGCTAACTTAATCTATTTTATAATAGAATTAAAAATATAGTGTCATATCTTTCATATGGATTTTTTTGTAAAAAAAAAGATGCAACATTTGCAGATATTTTTACTGGTCTTCCTTTATAAATATGCATTTCTTTAAACATAAATTAAAAGCAGTGTAAGGGAAGTAACAAAAAAGTTGTATTTGGATTACCTCCCTTACACTGTTTTAAATTATCTTTATTGTTCATTAACCATTACTTTATACATAATTTAAAAGCAGTGTAAGGGAGATAATTTCAATGATGTATTTGATTTATCTCCCTTACACTGCTTTAAATTATGTTTTGTACTAAAGTATTTGTCCATTAACCAGGACAACCTTGTTTTTCCCCCTTTTTTGCCCCTAATTCCTAAACGGTTTGAGCCATAACCCCCCAAAGCAAATCCTAACCATCCCTTTGTGGTATGGAAACTTGTAGTATAATTTCAGAGAGATCCATACACCGTTCCACAGTTATTGTCTGGAAACTAGAAAATGCTTATTTTTGGCCCCTTATTCCTTAACTGTTGGTACCATAACCCCCAAAATCAATCCCAACCTTCCTTTTGTGGTATTTAACCTTATGGTCAAATTTCTAAAAGATCCATTCACTTAAACTAAAGTTAGAGTGCGAAAACCAATGTGTCTTCGGACGACGACGACGCCAACGTCATACCAATATACGACCACAAAATTTTTTTGCGGTCGTATAAAAATTCGTAAGGGTTCCGCGGAACCCAGTATCTCACCTACTTTTGCTGTTAATCGCAGGCTCAACAAAAATGAGGAAAAAAATCAATAAAAATATTCCTTTAGATACTATCTTTTGATTGTAAGAAGCTTCTGTCAAAGTTTGGTATAAATCCAGGATAGTTTATGAATCTAATAAATATTTTAAAAACTTTAACTGCAGACTGTATTTAATGTTAACTGGAAGAAAAACTAAGTCCATTTATAAGTAAAATACGGATAAACAGGTACAAAATTTTAACAAAATTTCCTTCTAGATACTAGCTTTTGATCATAAACAAGCTTCTGTCCAAGTTTGGTACAAATCCAGGATAGTTTAAGAAAGTTATTAAAATTTTAAAAACTTTAACCACAGAGTGAAAGTAATGTTAACTGGCAGAAAAACTAAGTCCATTTATAAGTAAAATACGGAAAAAATGGACTTTTTTTTACAAAATTTACTTCTGGATACTATCTTATGATCATAAACAAGCTTCTTTCCAAGTTTGGTAGAAATCCAGGATAGTTTAAGAAAGTTATTAAAATTTCATAAACTTTAACCACAGAGTGAATGTAATGTTTCCTGGCAGAAAAACTAAGTCCATTTATAAGTAAAATACGGAAAAAATGAAATTTTTTTTTTACAAAATTTACTTTTGAATATTATCTTATGATCATAAACAAGCTTCTGTCCAAGTTTGGTAGAAATCCAGGATAGTTTAAGAAAGTTATTAAAATTTCAAAAACTTTAACCACAGAGTGAATATTTGTGGACGCCGATGCCGACGGAATGTAGGATCGCTATGTCTCGCTTTTTCGACAAAAGTCGAAGGCTCGACAAAAACCTTTAGCCATGCACTTTCAGAAAAGAAACTGGAAAAAAAATTAACAACTGTGGATTAAAGAACTGCTTTATGCAGACATGTTTTCAATTGAAAAAAAAAGTGAAATTCATATAACCTACATGAATTCTCCTGTTACATGTAACTCTGGTTTAGATTACCCATTAGTTTCAAAGAATGTTTTTTTTCAAGGGGTTCAATAGGAATCTTTGTGGAATCATTGCAAGTCAATCAATGACTAATTTTGATTCATTGTAAATTGTCTTAAGTATTCATTACTTTAAAATTTGATTGATTGATAAATGGCTGTTTAAGGTTCAGCAGCAAATATTACATGCATATTCTTGACAATAACATATCTCCGTACTCAATCATATTATTTTGACTGGCAAAGAAGCAGCAAATACCAATGTTAAAATTTTTTGGTTGACTCAGAACTAAATCTTTACTTACGTGCTCATGACTTCTGCAGGAAGAGATGTAATATATGATGGAATGTCTTGTCCTGTCAAAAACTGAGCAACCTCAGAACTAAAGTTATTACAGTTATGTTCTAGCAGGTGATAATCATGTGGTCTGAAAATAGAAAAACAAATTTTAGTATGGCAAAAAATTTTTAAATTTAAAACTGATACAAGAAATCTTTAGTGAAAAAAAAATTATTCAGAAAGACTACAAAAATTACTTTTTTATTATAAATGAAAATATTGAGAAATAAAATGCTTCGCTGGGCGCAGCTTGATACGACCGCAGAGGTCGAACCCTGAACAGTTGGGGCAAGTATGGACACAACATTCAAGCTTGATACAGCTCTGAATTTGGATTGTGATTAAATATTTGACACAGCATAGGTTTCTGACACAGAAAGAATGTGGTCTAAGAACTTGAATTTTTTTAATTTACTTATAATGGTCCAATGTCCAAAATCAAAATACACGGTTAGATTCAGCATATCAAAGAACCCCATTTATACAATTTTTGTTGAAATCAAACAGAAAAAAGTTTAATTTTGGACCCCAACTTGGACAAACTTGAAAACTGGGCCCATAATCAAAAATCTAAACACTTGTTTAGATTCAGCATATCAAAAAACCCCAAGAATTCAATTTTTGTTAAAATCAAACTAAGTTTAATTTTGGACCCTTTGGACCTTAATGCAGACCAATTTAAAAAACGGGACCCAAAATTAAAATCTAAAAACACGGTTAGATTTGGCATATCAAAGAACCCCAATAATTCAATTTTTGATGAAATCAAACAAAGTTTAATTTTGGACCTTTTTGACCTCAATATGAACCAATTTGATAGCGGGCCCACAAATAAAAAATCTAAATACATGGTTAGATTCAGCATATCAAAGAACCCCATATATTCAATTTTTGTTGAAATCAAACAAAGTTTAATTTTGGACCCCAATTTGGACCAACTTGAAAACTGGGCCAAAAAATTAAAATCTAAATACATGTTTAGATTCAGCATATCAAAGAACCCTATATATTCAATTTTTGTTGAAATCAAACAAAGTTTAATTTTGGACCCCAACTTAGACCAACTTGAAAACTGGGCCCATAATCAAAAATCTAAACACATGTTTAGATTCAGCATATCAAAGAACCCCAAGAATTCAATTTTTGTTAAAATCAAACTAAGTTTAATTTTGGACCCTTTGGACCTTAATGTAGACCATTTTAAAAAAACAGGACCCAAAATTAAAAAATCTAAATACAGGGTTAGATTTGGCATATCAAAGAACCCCAATAATTCAATTTTTGATGAAATCAAACGAAGTTTAATTTTGGACCCTTTTGACCTCAATATGAACCAATTTGATAGCAGGGTCCACAAATAAAAAATCTAAATACATGGTTAGATTCAGCATATCAAAGAACCCCATATATTCAATTTTTGTTGAAATCAAACAAAGTTTAATTTTGGACCCCAATTTGGACCAACTTGAAAACTGGGCCAAAAATCAAAAATCTAAATACATGTTTAGATTCAGCATATCAAAGACCCCCATATATTCAATTTTTGTTAAAATTAAACAAAGTTTAATTTTGGACCCTTTGGACCTTAATGTAGACCAATTTGAAAACTGGACCCAAAATTAAAAATCTAAATACACGGTTAGATTCGGCATAACAAATAAATAAATGTGGTCAAAGATTTTACAAATCTAATGCGCCATACTGTGCAATTAAAGATTACTTCTTGAAATTTTTCAATATTTGAAATTTGAAAAAAAAATAATATTTGAAGAATAATTCTTTTTAATTTCTGAAATCTGAAAGGAGAAAAAATTGACCCCCCACAATTTCTTTTTACCCCCCCCCCCCCCCCCCCCCCCCCTTTTTTCCCACAAAAAAATTCTTTCCCTCAAGATATGGTCATAATCTCAATTCAAATTTCCAATGGAGTTTGCAACCATAATTATCCATTTAAATTTACCATAGTGCTAACTTAATCTATTTTATAATAGAATTTAAAATATAGTGTCAAATCTTTCATATGGATTTTTTTGTAAAAAAAAAAAAAGATGCAACATTTGCAGATATTTTTACTGGTCTTCCTTTATAAATATGCATTTCTTTAAACATAATTTAAAAGCAGTGTAAGGGAAGAAACCAAAACGTTGTATTTGGATTACCTCCCTTACACTGTTTTAAATTATCTTAATTGTTCATTAACCATTATTTTATACATAATTTAAAAGCAGTGTAAGGGAGATAATTTCAATGATGTATTTGATTTATCTCCCTTACACTGCTTTAAATTATGTTTTGTACTAAAGTATTTGTCCATTAACCAGGACAACCTTGTTTTTCCCCCTTTTTTGCCCCTAATTCCTAAACGGTTTGAGCCATAACCCCCCAAAGCAAATCTTAACCATCCCTTTGTGGTATGGAAACTTGTAGTATAATTTCAGAGAGATCCATACACCGTTCCACAGTTATTGTCTGGAAACTAGAAAATGCTTATTTTTGGCCCCTTTTTTTACCCCTAATTCCTTAACTGTTGGTACCATAACCCCCAAAATCAATCCCCACCTTTCTTTTGTGGTATTGAACCTTATGGTAAAATTTCAAAGAGATCCATTCACTTAAACTAAAGTTAGAGTGCGAAAACCAATGTGTCTTCGGATGACAACGACGACGACAACGTCATACCAATATACGACCCATAAATTTTTTGCGGTCGTATAATAATATTGGCAAGCTAGGCCGACTCAGAATTTGCTCATTAATAAATAAAAAAAATCTTGTGTACATCTATTCTGATTAAATTTGCAATGTACAGGGATATAAGATTCTCCTATAGCCTATGATTAAGAAGCACTGAACTTTCGACTGTGTTATGATTGAGGATAGTCTTTACTTAATTTGTTGTAAACAAAAATTTTAAATTATCACTTTGTTGTAATTTCAAAATAAGATATCTGAAAGTCAGCTTATAAGTAAAAGAAACTAAAGAGCTCTGCATAAACCATTGACCTTCAGGAATTATCTGACAAACTCTATCATATACCTGTATACTGGGAGATCAAATAAACCTTCCGATTCAACAAGTCTTGAACCCCCTATGTAATGGTGTAATCTGTAGGTGTTGATTTCTCACACAGATCACTCTGCTATGAAGGCCCCAATTTATTATCACCTTGAGCTAGGAGCTAGACCTTTAACTGATTTTGTATGAATTCAATATAATTTTAAAAAACCTGAAAGTTGACTGTCCTAACTGTAGCAAATAATTATGGAACATTTCTTTAGGTATCTGTGTTGTTCCCAAATGTTCTATTTGGTCTGGTTGGCCTAACACTGTTCCTCCCTGTCAAAATTAAAATATATTTAAATCAATATTCACAAAATTTTTCCAAACAAGATAATCAAATAATCAATAATATATATTTTATGAAAAGATTACGTTCTCACATTTCACAGAATATACATGTAAATGTATTGATATATATGTTAAAAAAAGGTTTTATTATCATTTAACCAAAATATACACATATACTATCAATCCACAAAATGTGCACACAATTAGCCAGAATCAGAATGACAACATCGGGAAATAGTTGCCTTTTTTAGTGAGGTCATGATAGAAAATTCAAAGGAAGGCAAGAAAACTTGATTTGATTTGAATTTTGACCAATGAGGAACTGAGATCAAACAAACCACACAATAATCAACCTGTTGTTCCACTCTGGTTGGGATAAGTATAAGTCAGGTAATAATTTGAGAAAGAGATATACATGTACTTACTGGTCGGCAAGATTCTATTCCACCCATTCCACCAAAATAATATTCCTGGCCATAAGCAACAATCCCTGTGTGCCATACACCATTTATCTGTTTTCCTGGAATATATATTTAGTTTGATATAATAACTTTTAGGAATTTCCGAATAAATCTATAGTATGTGGATAAGAGTCATTCCTTTTTTTCAATATTTCCCCTTTTATTCTATACAAATTTGTAAATTTAGAAAAAAAATACCTTGAAATCATTTACCAACCGATTTTCATGAAAATTTTCATAATTTTGTTTAAATCATCATTTTTAAGAATTCATTAGTTAAACATGAACTATTATTATATATATATAGTAATATTATGACATCAAAACTAAAGTTTTTCAGTTAAATCATCACCTGAGTCCCAACATACAAATTTGGGTACATACGTGTAGCTGGGGTTTACCCCCACCCCCCCCACCCCAATTCATATATTGTTGTTTGAAAAAATCCTTACGCATTCAAATATTTCATAGGAAATCATAACAACTAACCCATTGATATATTTTCCCAGCTATCAGAAATAAATACAATCTATGACATCTTGAGATGTAAACCACATGGGATCATTCATTATTATCATATTCTTAGACAAAAAGATCAGTACACAGTTATCACAGATATCTGAACTGAAGATGAATATTTATGACCAATTGACATTTAAATTTTTCTACCCATTGTATCATTACCTCTGCAAAATTGCACAACATTGATATATTTGACATTCCAAAAAAGTTACCCATACCAGGCTATTACCAGCGCCACATCTGTGCATACCTTTATATAGGAAGAGACCCCCTAATGTCATGAATGTAAATCATAAACTCTTCAAAAATGAAATATTCGAAAATTATTTAAAACAGTCATTAGAAAATTTATTGATTTATATAAATTACAAAGGGAATAAAAACTAAAATAGAAATGCTTTTGTCCTCATAATGTAAATATTAAAATAAGAGTGTACTGCATTCAATGATAATCAGATTTTACTGATTGTTTATAAGAGAAAATAAAAACAATAAAATTAAAATATACATTTGAAAAGTGATGATGGAAGGAATTTAATATTGAAATGTATTTAATAGGGGAAGAGCTATCAAATTTATGTTCACCTATTTGACCCAAATTCTGATATATTATTTATAACATACTAAAACGTATATCCATATCACAAAAAGTCCAAAAGAAAACATAAACAATGCATAGGCTTGCTATAATGTATCAGCATTTTGTGCATATTCTAGACCAGACGGCATCTAATTATCCATTAAGATGACCTCCCAAGATTGCCAACGGTCATATAAACATAAATATAAATAGATAGTGACCATGTGCGATCGGATTTTTCTAGGTCTGTTTGATTTCATGTAAAGTTTTAAAATATATGTAATTTATCTTTTCACCTGTAATTTTGTGGGCCTGATTAGTCAACAAAATGATTGTAATATTCCTAGTGTCTCACTTGTTTCACTTTTCAATTTGACACTCTTTTCTTTTTAATGAATGAACCACATGCGGAATACATGTGCAATCCATTTCCACTAAAGGTTAAATCAAAGGTTACATGGATATGGATTCACATGAGTTGTATTATTGACTTGCAAGTCAATAATACACACCAGTGATGATTTTTTTTTAGCTTATTTTGATGAAATTGAACCAAATTTACTGTTAAAAACAAAATATTATTTCTTTATTCTGCTTTTATAAATGTTTGAAACAAAAAAATCATATTTTATTTTTTTGTCTAATTAGTAGCTAATTATATAATGTCCCTTTAAAAGACATAGTAATCATTTTGGCTAGACTGATATAATAAAACTATCAATGAAAGAGGAGGTAATTTTTTTAGCCAGTAATCACTGTGTCTTTGTGTAATCTGGGTGCTTTTATTTCAACAATGCTTGACAAAAACCCTTTAAAGTTAAAATGTTGGGCCAATATTTTCTGTTTTAACTTTTACAGGACTGTTTTGGTATATTACTTCTTATATTTAGCAGTTGTACACCATTTCTGTTATATCCTTATCCCCTTTTCTTACATTGTAAACTTTTACTGATAAGCTTACAATTGAACGAGACACCATCTGAGACCTGGGCGGCTGGCCCTCACATTAATACCATAAACATTTACTGGTCAGCTTAAAATTGGAATTCTATAACATTGGACATTCTTTTAATTAAATTATGAAATTTCTACTGGCTAACTTACCGATGAAGGCCTGTGACAAAGACCTGGCCATTCCTTTACTAATATCATAAATATAAACCTTCACGGGCCAACTTTCTTCTGCCATTCTTCTTGAATGTCTTCTTGAATGTCCTCTGTAAGAGGAAAATCAGTTTTACTGCAGTAAAATACCAAATTGTAATGATACAATGTACATTTGTACATGTTAACTATTTCTGTGATTTTTTTTCAAAGAATCTATTTAATTTCATAAGATACTAATGAAATATATATTCAACATTCATTCGATTCAAATATTACAATATTTTCTGACATGTTTAATATATAATCTTAAATAAAAAGGACTTATATTATTCAAGCAGCAGTCTGCCTGAAAATTATTATGGACTCTCTTGGAATTTCTGTCAACATATAATAGCTTTTAAACAAACCAGTATATACAGTGTATATATCTATCTATCTGTAAAAAAAAAAATCATCTGCAATTTCTAAGCCATTTCAGCAATTCTATTTCAAATAATAAATCATTACATAATACATGTATAAATACATAGGGAATTATTCATGCAACATCTTAATACTAACAATTTGTAGACAATTTTGATGTCTGCCGAGTTTTAGATTGCCAGGGTTAATCATTCTGATAAAAAATTTCTCCTTGTAATAAAATATATATATATACATATAAAATGTCTCATTATTGAAGGCTGTACGGTTGCCTATAATTGCTTACATCCACTTTGTTTTAACTTTGATGGATAGTTAGTTGTCTCATTGGCAATCATACCTCATCTCCTTATTTTTATATAGTCTGGTAATTTCATCTGTCCGACAATTTCTTTTACTTAATCATGTTAAACAAAAAAATTACTGGTTCTGTGTTGTACTTTATTAACAGTACAAAATATGTAGTATGCAATTATGCACAATAAATTATACTTTTAATTTTTCTTTTTTTTAATGGTACATGTAGTAGGGTCAATTTTAGTGTATACACTAAAATGGTCATGAAAACCCTTCAACAGCTTGGTGGCAATTAAACTTTTCCAGGTTTTTGTTATTTTCCAAATTTTTCCTTTAACATCATACAGGGGCATTTGATTTACTGCAAATTAGTATCTGAGGAGCATGTGATCACCGCAAATTAGTATATCTGATTATCGTAAGTATAATAAAAACTAAAACTAACATTTAAGTACATTGTAATGTCAATTTGGGGAGCTCATCAAGTAACATCTGCCTCCTAACATTGGTGTGTATTACTTGCTTCTTATCTCATATAGATTTTGGGACTGTTTAAGTAAAGGAAGGCATTATTGCAATTGACCTTATCACTATTTTAGAATCTATCTATCTTCGTATTTCTGCACTCAGTCACAACTTTGACTATTATCATGATTATGTGCCGTTGCATGCGTGGCTTATGTACAATTTAAAAGAAATAAATTTTTCAGTAATATATCGTTCCATTGGTGAACAGATGAAAAAATAAAATGTATTACAGTGATTTATTTATTTATTTTTTTTTGTGGATTGTTATATATCCTATGTATATTTCTTGGTAAAACTATGTACATGTTATGCAGTGTTCTGAAACATAGAAATCTGCTCTTTGAAGCTGTCAACTGTTGTACAAAGGATTGCTGATGTTGGAAGTACAAAATGTAGGTTCCATTATGCTATTGTGTGCGGATAAAATGAGAATTTGTAAGAATCTTTATTGGTTTGAATTTGTTTATAGTGGTTGGTATGTTTATGTCTTGTTCTACTGTCTGATGTAATAATTTAGAAGGTCTTTAGGGTAGATTGCTAAATGTTGGTGTATAATTTTATAGCAAACCACTAGTCTTGTTTGTATTCGTCTCAATTGTAGGCCACTGTAGGTGTTCGAGCATATTTGAGACAGAGCTGGTATTGTGGTATCTGTTAAATGTGTAGCAGACAGCTCTTCGTTGGACCATCTCAATTTGATTGATTTGATTTTTGTTGTGAGAGTCCGAGACACATGAGTTGTACTCAAGCTTAGGTCTAACTAATGACATGTATGCCCTTTCTCTTATTTGTATGGAAGGTACTTTTACAATGTAGGTTACGTTTTAGAAAATTTAGCTGTCGATTTGCATTTGCTGTTATATTATCTATATGTTTATTCCATTTAAGATCTGATTGGATGGTTATACCTAAATATTTTGTAACTGTTTCAGTTTGTAGAATGTGACCATGAAGGATGTAGTCATGGTTGACTGGTTTCTTTTTTTGTGTAATTCTGAGTATGGAACATTTGTCTGGATGGAATGACATTAACCAGTATTTTTCCCATTGTGCTGCTGAATCTAAGTCCTGTTATAATTTGGATGCATCATCTATGTTTTTGATACTTCTATCAGCAACACTTGACCAGAGAATTTGCGATTTGAACTATATTGACGTCATACAACATTCACTTTTGTATTAATATTTACAGGTGTATTATATATCCACTGTAGTACAAATTTCATTGTATTTATCTATTTGTTCTGTGGTACTGATTTTTTTTTCTACTGTATGTTTCTTACACGTTTGCGGGTCTCTGTAATTTTTTTATCTGAAGAAAAAGTAGGTTTTAATCACTAAAACCAAAGTCAGTAGTTTATGTCCCAGCTATAAGTTTAAGTGTAAGTTAAAACTTAAGTATTAGGAAAACAAATTGCATAATTAACAGGTTTAATTGTGTCGGTCCCCTAGAGAAAGTTTTAAATTCTTGCTACTCCCAAAGTAAAAGATGGCCCTTAAGTTTTCTTACCTATATTTTTATTTGAAAATAAGAATCGTTTTCAACATGTACACTGCTCAGATTGAAATGACACTAAAGTTTTGATTGGCAACACTGTAAACAATGGTAAGTCGAGAGAAGTTCCGGGAATGTTTTATAAATTATGCTTCAATATCGGACTAACGCTGAAATTCCGGAAATTTGGGGGATTATCTCAAAGGGTACACGACAACTCGTACCTTCGCCAACTCGTACTCAACCAACTCGTACCCTATTTTTACCAACTCGTACTTCCACCAACTTGTACCCAATAATTTATTATTATTTATATACATACTTCTTATTTTCTTTCATATATCATGATAATATAGCAACATACAAATAAAATAAAATATAACTTTGATTGGTAATAATATGTAAAACATTTGGACTTTGTTTAATTTATGTGCTGGCTTTATGGTTTCAAAAGGTTTTTATGTCCAATGCAAAATTCAGAAAAAAAAATAGACTTCCATCTCAAAGGGGAAAATAGTTTAGTTAAAATGATGCTCTAAAAACGCTAAATTAGCTGTTTTATTGCTATTGAAGTATCACTTTTATTTATAGTTAATGAAATCTGTGATATTATTTTATAAAATATGGTGTTTATTAGGTATTTCCACATGAGCTTGAGGAATGGACCCCCACTTTTTCTAAATATTTTTGTGTGTGTTTAATTTTTTTAATAAATATTCCTCACAAATTTAACTTATTTTCAGTTATTTAATGTGCTCTTGCTCTTATCCATACAATTTTACAATAACAATAGTTTGTATATGATGCCCCTCTGTTCTTATTTTCCACTTGCCTACAGTTAAAAAAAGAAAATTTACAAAATAAACACAGATACAAGCTTTTGTCTGTTCAGATGAAAAAAAAAACATAAAGGGTTCTGCAAAACCCTGAGTCTTGCCTGCAATTGCTGCTGTCAGTGTAAAAGTGTAATGTTGACTGTAAAAATTGAGTCCATTTATCAGTAAAATTCAGAATAATAATAAAAATAAAATGCTTCGCTGGGCGCAGCTTGATACAACCGCAGAGGTCGAACCCTGAACAGTTGGGGCAAGTATGGACACAACATTCAAGCTTGATACAGCTCTGAATTTGGATTGTGATTAAATATTTGACACAGCATAGGTTTCTGACACAGAAAGAATGTGGTCTAAGAACTTCAATTTTTTCTCATTTAATCAAATTTTGCTTCTGACATTATTTTTTAATCTCATAAAAATAGCTTCTGCCTAAGTTTCATTAAATTCTATAATGGTTTGATGAAGTAATTGATGTGTAACATACATTTAATTCAGATTGTATCTACTTGTTAACAGCAAAAAAATATTCCTTTTATCAGTAAATACTGAAAAATGAAAATTATTTATTTTTACTATTTTGCTCTGGATACTTTTGATCCTCAAAAAGATTCTGTCTTTTGTTTGACTTGTATGACAATATAGAAGAGAAAATTAGGAAGAAAATAGCTTCATGAGAAACTAACTAAATTGTTTTGAGATACTGATCTTAAGAAGGGAGATAGCTCTAACTTTTTTCTGTTTTTAAATTGTAAAAATGTTTGTCACATCTGTTTAATGTTACATTTCCATTCCATTGTATATTTGCTTAGTTGGAAGTTTTGATGATAATAAGGGAGATAATTCAAAATATTTTTGTCAATTTAACATGTTCTCCTTTATTCCTTTTGACTCACTTTCCATGATTTCATAAAATTTATATGGTGGATAAGTGACAGTACTAATTAAAAAATAAGAAACTTCAAATGTTTTTCAAGATAACAAACAGGTGTTTGCCCCATCAATTCCAGCTACTTTTGTGGGGCTACACCTCTGTGACTTAAATAAATAAATAAGCAATCAATACATTCTTTGCTTTAAAACACTATTAAACTACAAAAAAATTAACTTCAAGTAAGATAATCTTCAAGTCTTTGTTGATAAAGTTTTTTTTTTGTTTTTGTTTTTGTTTTTTTTATTTTTAAATACTGTTCATAGTTTACGCCAATACTGTGAAACCAATCTGATGTGTTTTGTACATTATCATCAGTGTCATTTTATTGTATGTGTGTTGTGTGTATGTGATTACAATATGTACTTTCTCACTGTTTTACGATTGACTTATTTGCTCTCTGGTTTATGTACTTATTTTTATACATACATAACCTATGGGAATAGATAATAATATTACTATACTATCTATGAATGTAAGGGGTTTATTTTCTAATAAGAAGAAAAGATTGGATGTCTTTGATTGGGCAAAGGGCAAACATGCTTCAATTGTTTGTTTTCAAGAAACACATAGCAGTATTGATGTTGAAAAATTATGGGGAGAAGAATGGGGCAATACTTGCATCTTTTGTCATCATAACAATAGAAGTGCTGTATCATGTTTAAAAAGGGATTAGATTTTACTATTCGTGACACTAAATTTGACCAGAATGGTCATTATATTGTTATTGATATCACTTTATTTGAACAGAGATTGACTTTAGTATGTCTATATGGATACAATATGGATGAACCATTATTGTTTGAATCAAATCAAATCAAATAATTTTATTGATGTAAATTCCAATACAGGAATGATACCAGCTGACATTTACAAAATACAAATACAAAAACAGACAAAAATAAACAAAAAAACAAATATACAGAGATATGTTTTCTCAATGATAAGAGACACATATTTTATATCTACATTGCGTGGAGGTGTTATTCATACTATATTATCACTTCAAGCTATTACAATAAGCTTTAATACTACAACAGTTCTTAACAATATTATGTTTGCTTTAAATGAATGTTCGAATCATACATATCGCTTATTCCAGCTACACATACAGTACAAATGTCAGTGTCATTACTTTTCAAAATGAAACTAAATTCATCTTGTTCAGACATATTAACAAAAGATGGAACTATATCACTTAAATTACAAAAGAGTATACTTCTATTAAATTCTAATGCTTTACATTTAATGAGGAAATGGAATTCATCTTCAATTCCATCCTTGCAAAGTGGACAAATTCTCTGTTCTAAAGGTGTTCTAGTATATCTACCAACTTCTATTAGTAATTTGCTATTACTAATTCTAATTTTTACCATTTTAGAAATAACATTTTTGTTAATGATATATTATATAAAATAGAATTGTATGCTAATCCTAGTATATTATTATGTGGTGATTGGAATGTTGTCCAGGACTGCAATCTAGATACATATAATATTTTCCATAAAAGAAATCCCAAATCTGGTGAAAAGATTGAAGAAATTATTGAAAAATTAGAATTATTGGATCCTTGGTGAACATGCCACCCTACTGACAAAAAATCTACCTGGCGTCAACCATCTCCTATTAAACAAAGTTGACTGGACTATTTCTTAGTCACTGAGGACATATATTCTCTTATGAAAAACACGAAAATTATACCTGGTTATAAGACTGATCATTCTGCCATTGTCTTTACTTTTTCTGCCAGTCTTGCTAAACAGGGAAAGGGTTATTGGAAATTTAATTCACAACTTGTAAGAGATTTTGAGTATGTTGAAAAAATTAAGACATGTATAAAAGACACTATTTCTGAGTATTATCTTTCAGGTGACATTAAAAATTGTCTTGATGTTAAACTTACATGTAATGACCAATTACTTTTTGAAATCCTGAAGATGAAGATCAGGACTTTGTCCATTTCTTATAGTATTGAAAAAAACAGAGAGGATAGAGAACATACATGTAAGCTTGAAAAAGAGGTTGAACAATTAGAAAATATTATGAGTATGTCACCAAGTGTTAATGTTCAAGCTACTTTACATGGGAAGAAACTAGAACTAGAAAATAAAAGGGAACAAAAGATTGAAGGTTTACTCCTCAGATCACGAGCAAACTGGCATGAAAATGGAGAAAAATGCTCCCAATACTTTTGCAAATTAGAGAAGAGTAATTTCATTAAAAAGACAATGGCTGAATTGATTGATGATCAAGGTAAACATATTTCTGAACAGTCAAGCATTCTCCTCGAACAACAGAAATTTTATAAAACTCTGTATTCAAGCAGAAGATCTGACTGTGAAGAAAACTCTTTTTATAACCATAATGTTAAACTCACACAGGAACAAAATGATCTGTGTGAGGGTAACTTGACATTTGATGAATGTGCTTATGCACTGAAACATATGACAAATGGTAAAAGTCCTGGTTCAGATGGATTTACAGTTGATTTTTATAAATTTTTCTGGAGAGATCTCGGTCCATTGTATATCGATCTTTTTTTTTTTTTATGAGCATAGAAATTTTTCAAATTTTCAATATCAGAGTGTCATTACTTGCATTCCAAAAGAAGGAAAAGATAGGAGATATATGAGTAATTGGCGACCTATCAGTTTACTGAATACTGACATCAAAATAGCTTCAGCAGCTATAGCTAACAGACTCAAACCAGTATTGCCATTTATTATAAGTGACACTCAGAATGGGTTTATTAAAGATAGGTTTATTGGGGAAAACATTCGCTTATTATATGCTCTGATGCACTATCTGGAAGAGCATAATAAAACTGGTTTACTGTTACTTGTTGATTTTGAGAAAGCATTTGATTCTGTTGAGTGGGATTTTCTAGTAATAGCTCTTAAAAGCTTTAATTTTGGACCATCTATATGCAAATGGTTTGAGACTCTCTATTCAGAAGCTAAAAGCTGTGAAATAAATAATGAAAATTTATCAAATTTCTTCAATCTTGAGAGAGGCTGTACACAGGGTGATCCCCTATCCCCATATTTATTTATTATAGGTGTTGAATTATTATCCCTAAAACTTAAATCTACATCTGACATCCATGGTATTCCTATTCACAACAAAGAAATATTGTTGAGCCAGTATGCTGATGACACATTTCTTGTTTTGGATGGAAATGAAAAATCTTTAGAGGAGACTTTAAAATGTTTTGATTCTTTTCACAGGGTTTCTGGACTAAAAATGAATGCATCGAAGACCAAAGCTGTTTGGATTGGTACAAAAAAATATTCAGACCATATACTTTGCCCTAATTATAATCTTCAATGGACAAAGTCAAATTTCAAACGTTT